AGCCAAATATCTCCAAAAGAAATACATCTATTGAGATGAATCAAAAGACCAAACTATTGAGAAAATATATATATAGATGATAAAAGAATTTTTACATTCCTTGCTTAGCTAACTTACTCCACAGGGTGTTCCAAACTTCTTCACCAAAATATCATTTTTTTGTTTTCCCTCGTATAATTGGCAGATGAGAACTTTCATTTTTAATTTAGAAAGATATACTAAAAAGTCAAATAATTTAGCTGCAAATTGCTTAAAAATCGCCAAAATCCATTACAACACAATATAATATAAAACTGTAAAATATATGAAAATTTGAAGGTGTCCCTTTTTCATCCGATTTTTACAATTACAGTAATAGACCGTAGATCAATTTATTGTAATTTTTTTCATTACTATAAATGTTAGCATTTTCAATTTAGTCGGTATTATCTGGGTCTGTGCCCCCGCCAATTCGAGCATCCGTGGAAGCTCCAAGGAGAGCGGTAGTATATATCGAAATGAAATTTTGGCAGCATATGTAGGTTAACTGAAAGCATTTTATAAAAATATATAGAATTATACAGTGTAAAATCGTTATTTTTGGGGCTTACTCAACCGGGTCTCACAATGCAAATTCACCTCAAATATCCATTTAGTTGGTCATTGGCAAGCACTCTCTCATTGTACATGAAAATAACAAAACAAACATTTACTGATCTGGATAAAATTGATAGTTAAATAGTAAAACTCACCTCGGGGTACTCCGCCCCCTAGCCACTGACGTCACTGACATTCTATTCAAATATTATTCGGATTTATTGGTTAATAATCTTCAACAACTAGCTAGTGTCACCTGAAATAGTTTAGGGGCTTCCTCAGCACGCAAATCTGCGGCTAAACAGATTCGCATCCCAATCGAATAAGCTGTTTGGGTGGCTCACCATCCCAACGCCGCATCGTCAATCGAGAAGACATTATGGAGACCTCAAACTCTCAAGACCAACTCGAAGGCAGGACGTCACAGAGGTTTTCTTACCGTGGTCAAACGACCCCGTTGGCTTACAGTCAAACGACTTGCAACTATATTAGTCAAAAGACTCGCAACCTCCATTTGTCAGCTCTGTGACAAAACACAACACTACACAGCCGGCCGGCCTATCAACGACTGACTGACCTGCCGCGCCCGTGCAAGCTAAGCCTCCTCTTACATCACAATTTTACCTGATCACAAATATTTACATCGCTTGCCAATGAATCATACTGTTTTGTCTAATCGACTTTCAAATAGAGTGTTTTAGCATTACCAAATAAATAAATAGAGAGTTTCCGAAGGAATGCATATTGTTTATTAGAATAGTGAATAAATAAAAGCATTATTATGACGAACTTAGTTTCCAAGTTTTACATTCGGCCAACCTGAACTTAGTTGCGCCCACGCAACTCTAACCTGACAGTGTATCTAGCAACATCTGACATCTGACATCTATCTCTAGCAATTCAAATCTTGTCTCTGACAACTCTAGTCCGTAAAATAAAATAAAACAAACAATTGACAACTACACAAACGTTACAAAATTAAACCCTCAAATAAAAGTGCCACACACAAGTAGTAGAACAGATGTCATGCGAATGCATACAAAGTTAGAAAACTAATTAAACATACACAAAATCAAAGACACAGCGTATAAAACAGTAGTTAATGACAAAAAATTAGTTAGTTGACTAAAAACTGCATAGTAGAAAACAACGAACCGCCGACTAACACAAAAGTAGATCGACTGCACACCATATTGTTCAAATAAACTGCGATACAGAAGAATCGCTGCAAAGCTTTACCAAGCAGTAAAAAAACCAATCGCTGATACACATTATGATATTAAAATGCCTTTGAGAAGAAAAAACCCTAAGAGTACAAAACAAGTTAATGCTCAATTGGAGTGCTCTAAACTGCCTTTTGATTAGGGATCTGTTACCTTTGAGATGAAATCTAGAATCGACACTGTGCATTCAAGCCTTTCGATTGTCAGACAAAACTTAAAAGATTTTCACTTGAATGCGACACTTTCTCTGTATACCAGTATGTAAACGTATTATTTCTTTATATGGTGCAGATACAGCCATTTAGCGATCAACTACCATAGCTCCGGACCAATTTGTCCAAACTGCAGCGGAGATCATTATATATATATATATATATATATATATATATATATATATATATATATATATATATATATATATATATATATATATATATATATATATATATATATATATATATATATATATATATATATATATATATAGGTTTGTACAGCCTAGACAACATGTTCAAATTGTGAATATACAAAAGAGATGTTGAAGATTAGAGATACTGACATGAAACATAACGTATTGAAAACTGTAAATATATAAGATGACAAACACAACAGAGAATTGAATAGTACTTTTTTTTATATTACGAAGGATTCATGTTTGTATTTAAATACTGCTGGTATAGTAATAAAATGTTTGAACTAAGATAGCCATTTGAATCAAGAAAACCTCTTATTGTATTTCTTACAGAAACGCACAAACACTTACAGAAACACACATACTTTTGTAAATAGTGAAATATCAGTTGCTGGTTACAGGCATTCTGTTTGCCAATCGAATAACCCTCACACAGTTGGTGCAACAATACAGGTGGTGAGCTAAATCCCAGTGACTGTACTAAGAAATGAAGAAAATATGGGACACCACTGTCCTGGATCGCTACACAGCAAAATCAACAATAAAAACACCATTGTCAGCGCCGTACATCGCCAAATAGGAATGTGAAACCACCATCAAATGTTCGAGAGGAAATAATGAATTATCTCTTGATAACACCACACAAATCAACAATTGCAGAATATTTTGATGAATGTTGGAGAACAAACGACACTAATAAAAGATATATATAGACCCTGTCAGACATCAATTACTGATACACGCCTACAACAGCTGCTAAAAAACATATTTACAACCAAAACGACATGGATTACGAAACCATAAAAACCTCACAACAACAGAGAGATGCGGCATATAGAACATGAAAGTGAATAGTCGCCGAATCAACAATCTTGGATATGCTGACAATGCAGTAGTAATGACAGACAGTAACAAGGATCTGCAGAATCTACTACGAAGAATCAATGACTCCTGCAAACGATATGATCTGAATATGAATTTCACGAAACAAAATTCGTGGTTACGACAAAACACCAAAATATAATTTTCAATATATCCATAGACAATGTGACAATAGAAAAAGTCCAATACTACAAGCACTTGGGCACAATAATAAATAAAACTGTCGAACAGTTATAAGAAATAATATCGAGGATCGAGATAGCCCAAAGCTTTTCTAAAACTCAAGAAATTTCTTTGCAGTAGAACCATTACCCAATTAAAAACAAAAATGCTCCGATGCTTTATGATGTCAACCTTATTATATGCCACCGAAATATGAACCATTAGAACAACCAAAATTGGTGGCTTCCAAAAGATGGTGTTACGAATGTTACGAATTCCTTGGGCTGATAGAGTTACAAATATCATGGTGCTACGCCGTATGCACAAAGAAGAAGAGATTTTAAAATCCTTAAGACATTTCTAAGAGATCCCAAGTCTCAGTTACTGCAGAATATTCTGTAGCGGTGGAAAAATCTAGGAAGGACGTAATCGAGGCAGAAGAACATTCTGGTCGAAGAACTTCAGTGAGTGGTGCCCAATATCGTGAGATGGATTATTTAAAACAGCTACAAATAAAATAAAAACAACCAATCTGATAGCCAACCTATGTGAATGCATATTTTTTTGTCGATATTTTCGAATGATATTTTTCAGTCAGCCTATAGTTACATAAACAACTGAATGTTCCGAGAGAAGTAAGAATTGTTTTTGTCTTTGATTTACGGCTTTATTTTTTTCCATTAATTTTTTTATGATTTTAAAACTATCTGTTTATCTATTTAAGAGTTATATCTTATTAAAAAATATTTTTGTTGCCATGAAATATCAGTTAAAAATGCCTATCATTCTTTTAGTTTATCTTAATAAGAGTAAATATTAATAGAGAACATTTTTTTAACCAATTTTATTCATAAGTTCAGATAAAAAAGACCATCAATCAGAATCCAGTCAACGATCATTATCAAAACCAAACATTAATTCATTTTCATATGTCTTAATCCTATGCCTTCGGTGATAAGTGTTATTCATACAACAGAAAACAGTTTGATCAGATTTTACTTTAAATAAAAATTTAAGATTAACCCATTAACGCTTAGCGTCACCGTATGGTCACAAGTGTAAGGCTCCCTATATTTGACGCCTGCCCCCAATCTTCTACTTCTATCGGATATATGGCGCCATGAGTCTCTTTAGAATGGTTCTAATAAGCATCGGAAGAGTTACAGTTATACTTTGTGTGTGATTTATGACCCTGAGACAGTTTTCCGTTTAGTAATTTTTGTTGTTCTACAAAACTGCCATGGAACCAAGGTTTGAGTAAGTATAACTTTTGATATTTTCAAAATATGACGTTTATATTTGTCAGTATGTGAGAGAAGACATACAATCAGGTATTAATTGTGCTGGTTGGAGTTTTTAGGTTATATCTTCTCAGATACAGGTGCATATATTAAGTTGTTACCATATGGTAACGCTAAGCGCATGTACTACCTGTTTTTTGCTCAAATAACGGTTTTGTTTTTAGGAGAGGTTTTACACTTCAAGAGGCTTTAGAAATTGCCTATAATGAAGATATAGATGAAATATTTATTGAACCACCCGATGCCGGCATTCTGACTGATGTGGACTCGGGAGATAAAGATGGGGGTGGATTTGTTGACAACCTATCTGGCGGACAACTTCGAGCTCAAGCTGAAGTAAAACTTCTGGACAATAATAGAATTGGTGGATGCACTTCTGATGATCAAACACTTTCGCAAGAGAGTGCTCTGTCACAGCGAGATTCACCTGTATTGCACAACATAATGCCACAAATAAATGTTTCAGCTAAGTTAGAAGAATTCCAATGGATCCAGGGCGATTTGGAGCCAAGTCGCCAAAGTTTTCCAGATGGTAATCATTTGCAATATCAAAACTTGTCTCCGGTACAGTTATTTGAGATGTTCACTGATGACGAAGTTCTGTCTATGTTGATTGAGGAAACCTCTAGATATGCCTTGTTCAAGAACTGCCCTGATCCACGTGTGACTACTGAAAAGATGAAATGCTATATTGGAATACTCATTCTTACTGGGTATAACGATTTACCAGGAAAGAGGTTTTATTGGGACTCGGACAGCTATATGAGAAACGAACTCGTATACAATTCAATGCGTAGAAATCGTTTCTTGCAAATTTCCCGATTTATTAATTTTGCTGATGATAACCATCCAGATTTATCAGACAAAATTTGGAAAATGCGTCCCCTAATGGACAAAATAAAAAGTAAATTTTTGGCTCATTTTGAACCTGAAAAGCACTTATGCTATGACGAAAGTATGATAAAATATTTCGGAAAGCATAGCTGTAAGCAATTCATAAGGGCTACAAAATGTGGTGCCTCAATACCAGTTCTGGGTACCTTGTTAACTTTGAAATGTACCAAGGAAACAATCCCCGCCGTTCTCCGGAATACGAGAAATTATTCGGAAAAGCGTCAGCTCCAATGGTAACAATGCTGGACGAAATTGGAAGAATAAAGGGTATTCAACCATACAAGTTTTTTTTTGACAATCTTTTTACGGGTACCAATTTATTGAAATACCCAAGAGATCATGGGTATCATGGTACCGGCACAGTGCGAGAAAATAGACTTCCTAAAGGATGTCCCCTAATAGGAAAAAAAACATTTGAGAAACAACATAGAGGCACTTGTGAGTCAGCTCTTGATAAGGGTAACGGAATTTTAGTTGTTCGCTGGGTCGATAATGGTGTTGTCACCCTAGCTTTAACATGTTTTGGTTTGAAGTCAATGGGAACCGTTCGTCGCTATTCAAGTGCCGAAAAACGAATAATACAAGTTTCTCGGCCAAGTGTTATTGGTATGTACAATTCTCAGATGGGTGGAACGGACCTTATGGACTAAAACATATCAAGGTATCGCATCGGTGTAAGAGGAAAAAAGTGGTGGTGGTGTTTGTTTACATGGATGCTGGATGCATCTATGCGGAATGCTTGGCAAATTCACAAGAAAACCAAAGGAACTCTACCACAACTGAAGTTCAGAAGAGAAGTTGTCAAATATTATTTGACAACGTTTGGTACGCAGCCAAAAGGTCCGGGTAGAGTTTCCACATCTTCGAGTTCAGTTAGTTTGAATAGAGTATCCGACAATCTTCGTTACGACAAACGAGATTATCTGGTTGTTTGAGTTCCACAAGGAAAACGACGACTATGTGCTGGGGAGGGTTGTTCCACAGTCGGTAGAACGATGTGTAAAAAGTGCAATGTCGGACTCGTGTTTTCTCATATTCCGTACTCTATAGGTGTTACCTGACCATAAAATAATGTATTTATAATAAATTTAAATAAACATGTATGTAAAAATTTTCCCTCATAATATTTCCAAAACTGGGTAGGCAAACCGCCTAGTGTTACCATATGGTCATATAGTTTTTTTCGAAAAGTCTGAGAAAAAATGTAACTTTTTCTCTATAGTGTGTCTTAATTAACTCCTAAGGTAACTAAAATGAGTATAATGGCCATTTTTTCGAACAAAAATTAAATCAGGCGTTAAAGGGTTAATTCAAAATTAATACTTAAGTTTAAACAGCTTTTTATTTTATTTAATACAGTTTTAAATTAAGAGACGATAGTCAAAGAAGAGGCATATAAAAAAGTTCAGTTGACTAACGATGAGAGAGACTGGAAAGATAATAAAAATAAACAGAATACCATAAAATCAGAATGATAGAAAAGCGTTCTATGAAAAATAACATCGATGGATATCGTGCTAATTGTACGAAAAAGAAGCAAACAATAAAAAATTGGTAGGCAGTAATGAAGTCATATTCTTACAATCCCTTTTCAAAATTGACGTTCGAGTATCCAAGAAAATGTTAACACTTCTTATGCTGAAAACATTATAGATATTTCCAAGAGTATATCAATTCAAACGAGCTGATTTTGTCATAGGAATTATACCACAACGCTAAAATTAGAAAGGTTTAAATTACTCAAATTGAAAGAGCTACTTAGTGTTTATCTTGAAAAATAAATCGACATCTGAAAAACTTTCCTGCGTAATTTTTGAAATTTGTTTGACGTAGACTATTCTCTATCGAATTTAATAGACACTCCTTTATCTACCGGATAAGTTTCAAAAGAAATGAAAACTAGTTTAATAAAACCAGTTCTTGGAAAGCAAGACCATACAAAGACTTTAGACCAATATATTTTTTCCTGTATATTGACAAAATATTAGAGACCCTCATATGCCATCAGGTACCTTCTTTGAAACATCCGAAATAAATAAGGTTTAATCGTAAAAATGTAGATTGTTCTCAGTGAAAATTTTAGAAGAATTTTAATATAGACGTTCGAGTAAACTAAAAGCCAAGCATTGTACCTACATATAAAAAAGCCTAGTGTGTGTCCACCTTTTTCTTTAAGAATTTATCGATTATTGCGGACCCTGGTATGTTTACTTTAAGTTGACAAAAAACGCCTGTTTTTGTATTGTTTAGTTTTCGGCCCTTGGCCTTGAACAAATATTATCGCCACGGAGTTATTCAGGCGTAGAGAAACAAAATATTCGAACAGTGAAATTACGGACAAACTTCCCTTCCTTTAAGAAATGTGATGCAATAGAGTAATAGATTACACAAACACAAGAAATGTTAAAATGACAAGTTTTTCAAATTAAGAATAACCTAAAAATCATATTTGATCTCCTAGTTGCGAGACCGGAAAAGCACTTTTAGAATATACGTGCTAAAAATAATTTTGATAACAAAATTTGAAAAAATGCATATATGTAAAACCTGCTAATCAGTGATGGAACCAGGCTATTTAATGTATTTTCTACTAATCTGACGATCGCTCTAGTAATGCTAAATTATTTCAAAAATGTATGAAAGTCAACAAAACAATAATAATGTTCAATATAAGTAAGTAATATTGTTATGCCAAGGATATTCTTACTCAACCGGGTCTCACAATGCAAATTCACCTCAAATATCCATTTAGTTGGTCATTGGCAAGCACTCTCTCATTGTACATGAAAATAACAAAACAAACATTTACTGATCTGGATAAAATTGATAGTTAAATAGTAAGACTCACCCGGGGGTACTCCGCCCCCTAGCCACTGACATCACTGACATTATATTCAATATATCCCATTCCATATCTTCCATCTAATTCAAATATTATTCGGATCTATTGGTTAATAATCTTCAACAACTAGCTAGTGCCACCTGAAATAGTATAGGGGCTTCCCCCGGACGCAATTCTGCCGCTGAACAGATTCGCATCCCAATCGAATAAGCTATTTGGGTGGCTCACCATCCCAACGCCGCATCGTCAATCGAGAAGACATTATGGAGACATCAAACTCTCAAGACCAACTCGAAGGCAAGACGTCACAGAGGTTTTCTTACCGTGGTCAAACGACCCCGTTGGCTTACAGTCAAACGACTTGCAACTATATTAGTCAAAAGACTCGCAACCTCCATTTGTCAGCTCTATGACAAAACACAACACTACACAGCCGGCCGGCCTATCAACGACTGACTGACCTGCCGCCTGCCGAGCTAAGCCTCCTCTTACATCACAATTTTACCTGATCACAAATATTTACATCGCTTGCCAATGAATCATACTGTTTTGTCTAATCGACTTTCAAATAGAGTGTTTTAGCATTACCAAATAAATAAATAGAGAGTTTCCAAAGGAATGCATATTGTTTATTAGAATAATGAATAAATAAAAGCATTATTATGACGAACTTATTTTCCAAGTTTTACAACAGGGTGTCCCCAAAAAAAGTTACACATCAAAGTTGTATTTTTTCTAATGGAACACCCTATATATTATTTGATTTTCGGATTCTAGGAAAAAAATAAAGGTAAGTTTTATTAAAGAAGCATATACCTAAAATCTAAGGATTTTGACATATTTCACATTATGTGAAAATGAAGAGGTAAAACAGCTACCTAAACTGTAGTCGACCTTGTATAGCCTGATATTTAATTACAATAACCATTGTATGTTAAACGAAATTGAAATTTGACACGAAAATGTATACAGGGTGAGGCAAAATTAATATGGAACATTAGTCACTTTTAAAAGCAAGTTACTCCTTTATTTTAAATGGGACATCCAGTATATTTTTCCGGTGTTCAATGGGGAATTTATATATCTTCTAAATATTATTAAGGTTGCCTACCCCTCAGATAAAGATTTTCTTAGATATTTTAATTTTTATGATTTTGCGTCAGTAGATCTTTATTATTTGAAAAATCTAGAGAGGGGTGGCTGTGTGATATACCTTTTGTTAATTTAAGAAAAATTAAAGATTACTCATCGATAATAAAAAGATACACGTTTAAAACATATTTTAATTATTACAGAATTAAAACTAGATATAAACCTATAATTATGTGACAAAAATTAGCTAGATGAAATCAAATGCCCAAAATGCTTCCTCTCCTGTTAACTGCATAAAATTATAGTCTTTTCAAAAGGATCTTTTCATTTTAGAAGGCGTATGAAGAGTTCTACCTTGAAAAGCAGCTACAATAATTTCTCTCATGTTGTCGACAATAGTTGGTCAACTTTTGTAAACACTGTCTTTAACATATCCCGATAAAAAGTTAAGACTACATAAATTAGGAGCATTTTAGTATTTTATTAATTGGTGAATCACTGCAATCACTAACTAATAGAATCATATCAATTCTTTCTGATGTAGAATAAGTTTGCATTTTCGGCTAATTTCTGAGATTTTTTTTTTGTTTTAACTGACACAAAATGATAACTAGTTGTTAATGTCAGGTTAACGCTGTGGTTGCAAATAACGTCACATATCAAGGCCCTATATTTTTCAAATATAAGAATGCTATACTCAGATCAGATCATGTAAATGAAAATATTCTAGGAAAATCTTTGTTTGAGAGGTAAGCAACCTTTTAATAGTATTGTTGAAAGAGACGAATGAAATTGCTTCATTAATATAGAATATATATGCGTGGTGTTCCATTTAAAATAAAAGAGTAACATGCTTTTAAAGGTGACCAATGGTCAATATTAATTTTGTCTCACCCTGTATAACAGTATTTTTCGATAAATCGCAAGATAATCGCGTCATTGTTAATTAAAGATCTGCCACAATTCCCTTCTAGATTTATTACCTTTAAACAACTATCAGTAGTAGAATAGATAATGATTAACATAAAATAAGCTCAGTAAAGACTGAAAATTCCAGAAAATTTCAAATCAAATTAAAATGTGTTAAATGAATCGTTAAACAGAACTGTTAATGATCCCCACCCTATAGTCCTCTTTCCGTCGACTATGCATGAATGGATAGCATTATATAACGGGGAAGGAGTTAAAAACTTTAATGAATGAATATATTTATGGATGAAAAGTTAGTAGGTCTAGCCGCTACTGGTAACTTAAAAACCATCTAAAAATGTAATGCATCTCTGCCAAACTCCTCAGGTGGTGT